CCAGTCTCATCGCTAATAGCTTAGAGAGTAATTTAGAATCGACATTGATGAGGCTGATCGGCCTATATGATCCAAACCTATCTGGTGATTAATTTTTATTTAAAATTAATGAAATATTAGCCTGTCTAAGTGTTGGGGAAAGACATTCATTCTTAAAGGAGTCTAAAAAAATATCCGTCAATGATCTGGCAAGAAGATGATGTAGTTTTTTAATAAAATTCTGAGCAGAAACCAACAAGTGCTGATGATTTTCCTCTAAAAGAATTGATAGCAAGTGGCACTTCCTCCTCAGTCACTGGCATATTTAATGCTTCCCTTGGATTCTCTGATAACGATACAAAAAGTGCTTATCTAAAAATCCTGCCATCTTCCTATCTGTGTTACTACACTCTGATGAGTACACGTTCACTTAGAACTGCTTCATATTTAAGTTGATGCCTTTTTCTGCATTGTGGTATATGAACTAATACTACCCCTAAGATAGGCTTTGGCATTTATGATTTATTCAGACTGCTTGGCTTTATTTATTTTTCTTATTTATTTTTCTCTAATACATACAAACATTTTGTTTTTCAAAGTCTGTTTAATGAACTAAAGCACTTAATTGTAACACACATAAAAATCAGGAAGGGAGAAAATACTTTGCAGCTTTTAAATGTAAAATCCTGTACTAGTCACTGCAGGAACTAGTGTGAAATGATTTGGAGTTTTGAAAGAAATGGATTTAAGAACAGGGATGACCAAAGCACAAGTTTAAATATGAAAAGCCATTCAAATTTAACTGAGGTAACACATAAGATAAATAGATGAAAAACAAGTTAATTAAAAAAAAACTAAGAAAGTTGAAATGAAAGAAATTGATGTATATAGCCATACACTGATATTTGGTACAATATAAGTTTGGTTAAAAACAAAAACAAAAAACATATTCACATAGCGTTTATATTACTTTAAAAAGTACAACTACAAAACACTATTGTGTTCTAATTGAACAAAGATTAACATTTAACAGGGATAGAAATTTAGAGCATTAAATCCCTCAGGGGAGAAAACCTTGATTTTCATGTCTATACTTGCAGATTCCCAAATTTAAGATCCAGGATTATTTACTGCAGGTCCAGAAATCAGAGCTACCTCATAACATCCAAGTGTGACATCAGCTGCACTCTTTACAGGAGACTCTAGATGAACTCTGTGGAGCCTGATCTCAAGGTTTTTAAGTCTGACCCTGAAACCAGAAGAGGATCTTTCTGTCTCTTCAGAATCATTGTGATCCAGTGATTTCAGTCCTGCATGATCACGCTGATGCCATTGGTCACAGCTGAAGTTCTCTTCCATGTGTGTACGTTCATGAAGGTTATGACTGCTCGATCGTGAGAAGCTTCTGTCACAGTGTCTGCACTTG